TAATATTTTTAAATGCTTGATACATCTACTAATGCTTTTAATTTTGTCTAACATCCATGTAAACATGGAAGAGTTCTGTTCTGGATGACTCCCTTGTCTGGACTTTTGGAGGCACATCTCAGATATTTGTTCATCTATGGACACTTTTCTTCTTGATCATTGGGTTCTTTGGATTATTCAGTCCAAATTTGACTATCTCAGTTTTTATTCTGTTTTCAATTTTGCAGTTTTGATTCTTTATCACAGCAAGGGGATATTGATGCCTTACGTTTTGTTTACTTGGGGGGCTTTTGTTCTCATTTGTTTGTAGTGCCAAAAGCAACAGGGGATTGTAGACTATTCTTTGATGTTTCCCATCTCATCTGTTACCTAGATATTCTTTCTTTCTTTCTTTCTAGCTAGAATCTATGAGAATCTTATGAAAGTTCCTTCCTTAAGATTTCTGGATTTCTCCCTTTTTAGTTTGGCTTTGGAATTATGTTTTCACACATGTAGTTAAACCATTAAGTTGTCTAATACATACACACACGTTCAGTATCAAGTGTCATCATAACATGAGTGATTGAAGGAGGAGGATTCCCACTAAGTAGTTGCCTCACACTGAATTTATCTCCCAGTTATCTTCTTCTCTAGAATTTCTCCTACTACTATTTATTACTGTCAAGTGTGGCTCATTTATGATTTTCCCTTTACAAGTTCCCTTTTATTACTCCTCCTACAGATATAGATTTTTCATTGATGCTTCTTTTCAGGGCGAGGGTGATGTGTTGTGGGACAATTATCTTTAGGGTCTGTAGTTGTAATAGATGTTCCATATCTACATTATTCTGTTAGAGATTTTGGCTGGTTCATATGAATATAAGGAGTTCCAGTTCTTGTTACACCATCACTGTGCTGTAATACAGACAATTTGACTGTGGTGACATACATCAACAGGCAGGGTGGGACTCAATCTCACATCATGTTTTTATCTGAGCTGATATTTTATTGGTTGTATCAACATTTTGGTTATCCAATGCTTGATGCAATCATGACAGCATCTTCTGGTACTCGAATAGCTTCCATTTCTGGGTACAGCTTCTCTGGCAGTGGATGCTTTGAGTTTGTCTTGGGTATTTGCTCAGATCTGTCCATACCATTTTCCAAGTCTTCTTATTGTCCCATGCTGGCCTGTTCTACCATGGTTTCCACTCCTTTTTCCAGCCTCAGAGATTATGTCCTATTAGTTTTTGGTACATCTTCCAAATGCCATTTGTCACCTACAGCTTCATGGCTATTTGTTATGTGATCCTTTGTTAGGGAAGCTGGCTTTTCTTCTTGGGTAACTCAAATATTACCACATTTTTGCCAACATTCCTCTTTGGCAGTATACCAATTGCAGTTATCTGTCTCTCAGAGATGATACCTGTGGAGTTTGGTTTCTTACCTTTCTCCAACTCATGGATGGCTTACGTCAGTACTTTCTAACGCACATATTTTATGAATGGTGCTTATCTACTTCTACGGAAAACTATAGAGCTGTACTCTTAGCCACTTTCAGTTGCCACAGACACATACCTGTGTTGGCCTCATATTTTCAGCTTCTCTTTAAAAATTTTCTTATTGTTTCTCCAATGAGTACCTAGCCTTTGTGGTCAGTGTTAATTCTGGTCTTCAACTGCTTGGCTTCTCCTTTTGAACCCTTGGCAACTTGTTCACTTTATCATCTTCTCTTTTATTGCTTGATTCAGGGAAAAGACATTCAGAATTTTTTGCCATTGATGTTTTTTAAACTTTTTTTTTTCTTTTGCCAAGAAGGCTCTGTTCTTATATCCTTTAAGAGCCTTCCCACCTGAGACTTGGACAAAAAAAAGAGATGGTCACTGCTCTATTTGTCTCAAATTGTGTTACCTGATCTAACTGACTTTGATTCTCCTTATAAATGTTTTTTGTCTGGTCAGTGCTGTTTGTTCCTGTTTGGCAAGACCAGTATTTTCAATAGAATTGACATTAGTTGTTTATACATTATGACAATTCTTGTTCCATGGATCATTCTCCATTCACAATAACAAATTTGTCTGTGTAGCTGATTCATCTTATTTATCATGATGTTTCTTAACACTTTAAGCAGTTATATCTCATCACATTTGGCCATGTCTTTGGCCTCTTGATTTCTGTATCTTTTAGCAAAGATCTTCCAGGCTCAATAGTTATTTTTCACATTTTTCTTCAGGCTGAATGGAATATGTCTCATATGTGATTTTTGCATATTCTGCCCAAAACCTAAAGTTACCATTGTTACCACCTGGGGTTGTGTCTTCCTTCCTCAGTGTGCTGTGCTCTTTTGGAATAGGTGGTCTGCCATTCCCTGTTTGGGCCTATGTATCCACGCACATCTGACTGAATTGAGTCTATCATTGGACGATGTTTCTGAGTCCAGTGGTGAACCCATCCCACCATGACTCATTACCATCCCCACCTATGACCTTTCTTTGAGTCATCTGAGGAAGGCAGATACTCCCAATTAGAAGTACCATCTTCTCTTTGCCAAACATCTTTTAAGCCATTCTTCTCTTCTTGTTTTTATGGATGGTTCAAAACTAGGTGATTCTGTGGGCTCTGCCATGGTTTGCTCACAGTAACCATTCTACAGTTTCTTTGTTCACTACCGAGTTGTATGCCATTTCTCTTGCCTTGGAACATGTAAAAGCTAAGCAGTAAACTAACTGTACTATTTACACTGACTTTCTTAGCTCTTTATTGGCCCTGGAATCACTTAATGTAAGTTCTCACCCTGTTTTTGTTAATATTCAGAAACAACTGGACACTTTTCACAGTCTTCTGTTTCTATCTTGTTTTTCTGGATACCTGTCCATGTTGGTATTCACGGGAACGAGCTTGCTGATACTACAGCTAAATTCATCTGCTCTGGCATTGGCACAGCCATAGCTGTCTTGTATATGACTTGTATATGTATAGGTCTTATGATCATAGCTTGGCTTCTCGCAAGTTAGCAGCCAACTTTGGGTGAATAAATTCATAACAAGCTTTTCCATATCAAACCAACTGTGTTGGCTCCACAGCTTCAATACACCATTACTGCTCACAAAACTGACCATGTGCCATGATAAATAAGGGCATCATTGATAAAGAGGTACACTGCTGAGATGAATACCATCTTTCCAAGTGTCCTCTAGATCCATTCTTTTTATAAGGATGATCCACTCACTGTCCCTCGAATCCAGTTATGCAAATTTATTTCAGGTTCTGCAATTTACTCAGAGTCTTCATGGTTACATATTTCTTGTATTCTATATCATCTTCATACACTACAGCTTATAGTTTTATTTCTTTAGTTTCCTTTTGATGTTAATTTGTTTCCACCTTTTTTACAATATTTCAGAGGTAAGTTTACCTGATTTGAATTTTACAATTTTATAATTAAAATTCATTTCAAACAGGTACTTACCTCTGTAATTTTTATGGACATGTTTTATTGATAACATGATTTCAAGTTCAACAAGTAAATATTTTCAGTATTTCAAAGGTAAGAACTTGTTTGAAATTCATTATAATTCCAAAAATGTATAAATGCTTTGTATAATTTGCAGTCTTTTGTCAGTTAATATTGCTGGATATACAAGATTGTTCATTTTAAGAGTTATTATTTTGAGATTTAATATTTAATGATTATTTAGTTTTCATAACAAGAGTGTCAAAAGTAAATTATTTTAAAAGCAATAGTTATAACAAGTTTCATTGTATAATTCTGTACAAGTTGTATGTTTTATGTGTGTAATCATTGTAATAGGCTTTTGTAATATTGTTGATGTCATCTTACTCAAAGCTTCTAAGTTTTTCTCATTATGTGAATATTGTTGTCTATAGAGGCCTAGATATTTCTAGATTTTCCTGTCGCTTGTCATAAATATGTGCAGATACAGAAAAAATTATAGTTATTAAGACAGAAATAGTTAGATAGAATAGATAGACTGTGTGATTGTGAGTTTAGCCATAAAGAGCATATAGTGGCAATTTTCAAAATGGAATCCTCACAGATTGTATTGTAATAACAGAGTAGAGAAGAAATAATTTGTTTTGTCAGTTGTGTTCTAATGTAACTGAACCAGTCTGTGTGGAATTTTTATGAAAAAGAGACAATTATTTAAAGCTCTGGATACAACTGTGGTAACTAACAGTGTAACATAAGTGAAATTATCACCAATTGTATTGTATTGTAAGAATGAAGTAACTAAACCAACCTGTGTGGACTTTGACAAAAAGGAGACAATTATTTAATGCTCTGGATACAACTATGGTAATCAGCGCTTATAGTAGTGATTTTGAAGTGAATTTTAAAGCTTGTATTGTAACAACAGAGATAGAGAAGAAGAATTTGCTTTCTCAGTTGAGTTCTAAAATAACTAAATCAGCCTGTGTGAACTTTTGACACAAAAGAGAATTATTTAAAGCTCTGGATACAACTGTCGTTACCCATGGAGTAATGTAAGTGAAAGTATTGCAGCTTTTATTGTAATAACAAACTAGAGGAGAATAATTTGGTTTGTCAATGGGTGTTCTAAAGTAATTAAACTGATCTGTGTGGACTTTGACAAAAAAGTGTAAAGAACTTTATTGTACCTACGTTTGACTTGTTTTGAATATATTATTTTAAAAGAACTGAATTATGTGCTGTCTGTTTATTGTTGAAATTTATCACGAACAAGTCGCTGATACCTACTGTAAAGAATTGTGGCCCTATTAAAACCTAACAACTATAAAATAGCAGTATTTGATGTATGTATGTCTGTATGTGCTAATTAGATTTGTAGCTGTTAACACTTAACTGCTCTAAAAGGTTTCACATGGTAGTTATGTATTTTACTTAAAATACAATTTTAGGCAGAACCTTTCCTTTCTCTTCTCAAAATTCAAAATAATTTTATATTTGAATAACAGAAGTACTTGAATTTTTTTTCTTTCAAGCAATATGTAATATACTAAAATATTTATATTTTTAGCAAGATGCCACAGTGCTCAACTCTCCAACTGGAAAGGAGTTATGACTGCAAAACTAAAGAACATATATAATCACAATGAACTAGCATTTATTCACTGTGCTACTGGCTACAAGAAAGTAAGTGATATTAGGTGTATCTATGGGCTCTGGAGATTATTGTCAGGTCAACATCCATGTGAATTTGGTAAGTTAATCTCACATGCATAACTTGTTTCTTTTTTTTTTATATCTCGAATAAATAAAATTGTAATAACTTCATATTTCTTACAAAAAATAAATAACAGTTATAAATATAAGCATGTATAAAGCTATATAGCAATCAACTTATTTAAGCTCATCAAGATAGTTACTAATCTTGCATATATAGGGTTTTTCGCAATGTTTTGAAGAGACTTCTAATAGGAGATAAGTGGAAAAATTATTAAAACCGGGAATAAAGTATCAATGTGTCTTGGTGAAACAAATCTTTGCACATAAAAAACATCCCCCCCAAAAAAATATATTCTCAATTAAAAAAACAAAAAATAATTATATTTTTATCATAATTATGTTTTAAAGGGATGTTTAAAGCTAAATAAATAAGGAAAGTAGTACTATGCTCTTCATTCATCCAGAATATCTATAAGTGTAATTCTACAGATGTAATATGACGCACTAAGTGGTAGAAATATAATTTTTCTTCCTACAACTTATGCTAGATAGCTTAGTAATCAGAGAACACCTTTGAAAGACATTCCTGTAAAGTCTTCTGATGAAGCATTAGTGTACTTCAATGAATACTTTAGTTTCACTTGTAAAGTGTCATAAAAATGTCAGAACTTTACTTTTCCTGCACTTAGCAGTAGCCAAACAATAAGGATTTAATACTTATGATATGTGTGAAATGAAAGACATAATTAATAAATATATACATCATTCTATTTTTGTATATTTTCCTAAATATTTTTCAATTTTAACTGTGATAAGTTAGTGCTATATTTGGACTACTAGCAAAGACACAAAAGTTCATCATGAAGTAAGTCTTTGAATGAAAGAAGAGTATGTAGAAATTAGTGAAAACATTTGTATAGTATTAGTATATATGTAGTGTATTTAATGTTCAATATATAAAATGAGTTAATCAAGCATTTTCTTTTGGAATAATTAAATCTGTGCTATATTAAGATTAAGAGTGGTATTAACTATACAGTATTCATTACCATACATTTATGTACTCTTTATTATGAAACTGGTTAGTACTTATGTCTGAGTATATATGATGCGCATTTGTTATAATCTCATAAAATAGGTTACTGTCAAAAACCTAACATTGATGGTGGCTCAGTTGAGGAAAGTAATTGGGGTTTTTTTCATAAAAAGGTAAGTACAACTTTGCCAAAATATTCAAATGAATATACAAACTCAAGCATCTTGCTTTTTACAGACTTTAGTAGTATGAGATACATAAACTCTACTTTGTTTTGGTAGTGCTTGTATCTTATCATACAGCCTTTATAGGTTGTTAAGTATAGTTTAATATTGTTAAACAAAGGATAATCCTACTGTGCTGAAAGCAAGCAAAGCTACTAACTGCTAAGTGTCTAAGGGCATTTTGCTTTTGTTAAATTGAGTAAAATTAATATTCTTGCCTTTTGTCAAAAAAACACATAAAATTAGTTGTCAACCATCTCAATAAGAAACTTATATTCTTGAAAATAATGTTAAATACATTTACACTATATAAACATTATTTCTTTCGTTATTAGAAGACAACAATGCATTTAGTATGTTTTACTAAGAAAACAATACTCTTCACAAATATAAAAAAAAAACTTTAAGAGTTTAGCTAGGAAAAATTGGATTTGGTGAGTTTTTGTTCAAAAAAATTTAAATATATTGTATGCCTTGTACAATCATTAAAAGTTTATAAGAAAATAATACTTAAAGTTCGATGACGAGGAACCCACTTTGAGACTAATAATGGCTGGAGACGGCTTGAATGGGTAATGAAGAAAAACTTTTATACAACAGCAAATGTACAACGTTTCGACAAGGTTTTGTCATCATCAAGCACCTGATGATGACAAAACCTTGTCGAAATGTTGTACATTTGCTGTTGTATAAAAGTTTTTCTTCATTACCCATTCAAGCCGTCTCCAGCCATTATTATACTTAAAGTTGTATAAGCCTCAGTACACAAATGTAACATGTTCTTTTAGCTAAATAAAACAAAAGCAGTTCTATATACTTAGATGACAGGTTTACCTCTCTGCACACAGTAGCAATCCTCACATTCAGATTTTATACATGTCACTAATCTTGAGCTATCTCCCACCTAAGATACATTATAACATGAACTGCAAAAGTGAATGACATAATCACCCTGGAGAATAGCTTTCCATCAAAAAGAGGGTGACACATCGTCCATGTGCATAACTTCCAATCAGCACTTATACTTGAAACTTGAAATTAACTTCATTCTTTTCCTCGACAATGTCCTTAATAGATGTTTCTTTAAGCCTAAGATTAATCATTTTCAAGAGATTTTGCTGCCTTTTTACAGTGTTAAAAAGAATTGAATTGCTATAGCAACCACAGATTCTCAAGCCATGGTGATTACTACTACTACCTTCTCCCAGGGTTCTGGTGATGTCCTTACTTTGTCTTAGCCAATGGTGGCTTGTTGACTGTAGTTCATTGTGTCATTTTTTTGTGGCTTTCATCAGGTAGAGAGACAATGTTCCTCCTCCAAATTCGTTTGTGGATTTGATCACTCAAGTATGTTCTTTACTTTTCCTTTCTCTCATGTCTTTTTATTCTTTCCATTCCTTACTGCATGATTCTCATGCTAAAGATTATTTGGTTTTTCCTCTTTCTCCAGACATAGGGGTCTGTGTTGACATTTTCCTGGATCAGCTTCATTCCCACTCTCAGATGCCTCATCCTCCTTGACTTTAGGATTCCATCAACATGACTTATGACCCTTCTCCTTTTCTCTTCATGAATTCCCAATCACAGAGTCTCTTCTGCCTGTTTGGAGGACTGATCCCCAGTCTACAGTAACACTTTCTAGTGTTCAATTTTCACATTTTTGCATTTTTGTCACCCATCTCCTTTAATACCTATCCTCTCTTAAGATCCCAGTACTTTCTCTGTGGATTTACAGTCTGTCCTTTTCAATGCATTGGCCATTGTTTTTTTTTCTTTGACCCTGCTCACTTGGTTTCTCTGTTTTGGGTCCTTCTGGTACATGATGCTCTTCTCTGTACTGTTTGTCTTCCACATTCTTACCTCCATCTGGCTCCCTTTTATTGTTCTAAGGTCTTTTGGATGTTTCAAATGCCTTGGAGACTTGAACCAATGCTGTTCTATACCAGTCCTCCCTCTCCACCTTGGTTTCTCATCTCTCATAACCTCATGGGTTTACTCACATTCTTCGACCACTCGAACCCCCTGACATCTCAATTTTCCCATTTCTTGTCCTCTGTCAATTCTCAACATTCCCCTTATGTCAGGTTGACTATTGCACATCTCATTGGTGATTCCCACCCTTTGTATCCAATCAGCTCAGGCCCTGTTGGGGCTCATCTGTCTCTGTTTGCAGGTCTTTGGACCCTTTTTGCGGCCAATGGGTGTGCCATTCAGATTCTTACAAACAGCCTTTCTCTTGAGTTTTCATCTATTCCTCCTCTGCCTTCTTTCCAATCTGCACCATATTCTGCATCTTAAGGCCAAGATATCAGATCTTTTGAGCATGAGAGCCATCAAGAGGTTTAATTCTCATCTTTTTATTGTCCCAAGAAAGACCGAGGATTGGCATTCCCATCACCAATCATTTCTTTCTCAAGCAGTATCTGGTGGTTCTTTAGTTTAAGATGTAGAGGTTTCTTCTTCTCCATTGGCCCTTTTGTCCTGTACTTTGGAAGACCAAAGTTGATGTCCCAGATGCCCTTTTCCTTATTCCAATTGCTGTATCCTCACATCATTTCAATCATTGGAATCAAGTGTACCAGTTTTGAGCTCTTTTCCTTTGTCATAATTGTAATTCCTGTTGTGGGAGTATTTGCTTGTCACATCCACAGTCTTTGACTTCAGTTCCATTTTTACATGGATGAGTGACTCCTCCTCACCATATTACTTCTTCTCCAAGAGGCAGCTTGTCTGAGCTGGCTGGTCACGTTTTCATTCCTGTCTTTGACTCAGTACTTGTTCCATCCTGAAGTCTTTTTAAATTCTTGACTCAGTCGAGCTCAGCTTTCCCCTATTTGTCTGTGAGACATGAAACATCTAGTCACCTTGACTCGGATAGCTCCTAGACTTCCTGTGTGAGAGGTTCTATATACTTTGGGAACTCTTGCTTCTGTGGAACATCTTGTCTCTTATATGAAGTTTCTTCAACAGACTTTAAGCAACCAATGGAAAACTTTTTATGATCCTCTTTTGTGACACTGCTAACTTCTCTTCTCAAGGACCTTTCTTGGTGACTAAATCATACCAATACTATGGTTAGCATCCCACTGCCACACCCCATCCTGATTTTTTTCTCTCTTCACCAATGCATCTCTTATTTGTTGGGGGGTGTCTCTGGATGATTCCACAACCTCAGGATTTGGTCTCCTGTGAAGTTTATTCCACATCAATTTTCTGGAACTCTTGACCATCCTTCGAGTGTATTCCTGTTTTTTTACTTTGTCTTGTGATCACTTGGTTATGATCCACTCCAACAATTCTACATCTGGTGGCAGATCGAATCTCTTGACTGGACGGGATTTTTCCTATGTGGTGGTCACTCCATTCTCAGGTATTTTGTTGGGTCTGTTCCCACTTGGACACACCAATGATCAATGCCTTTGACACTCCTCTCATTATCAAACTTCCCCTCTTTTGGTCCTTGGTATCTCATCCAACAGCCCTGGCTGTGAGTGCCCTCAGTTAGAAATGTTCTAATCTCTTTCTGTACTCTCCTCTTCATTTTCTCCTACACTTCTTGTCAGGTCCTGTTGGTAGCACCTTTTTGGCCAGCTAAAATTTGATATCCTCTTCTTCATTGACTGTCATTCAGGGTATTTCTTCCTCTGCCACTATCTCAGTCACTCATCCTCCAACCTCATATATATCTCTTTCACCCAAAAGTGCTATCCATTCATCTTCATATGTGAGATTGGTCCAGTCCTTTGCTCACTGGTCACTGTTCTCTAACTATGTAACCCTTTGATCTTGGGTCCTTTAAAGCTTCGATATTTGATTCAATTGCAGATCAAGAATGGAGATTTGTTTTGATTTGTTAGATAGGACAATGATTTGATATTTTCAAAACTACATAACTTCAGGTAAATTTTAGAATTTAGATTTTAATTGAGTGTGTATACTGGAACCTATTTCCTTGTAAGAACTTTTGTGTACCATTCTTCTTCCAGATGTTTAAGTACATTATAGTTTTTGTTTGTAGAAAGATTTACTTCTATACTCATTACTAATTGTGTGTAGAAGCACTCTACATAAATAAAGAAACCATTTTCTGTTTGATTTGAAATTTAATTCAGTTTATATATACCTTATAATATATATATATGCACATTTGATTCAATTCAAGATTCAATTTGATTCAAATATTTTGGGATGATTCAATTTTTAAAAATGTGGTTTCCAGGACCCTCCTTTGATTATCCGGTTTTTGTTGCCCTTCTACTCACTCTTTCTATCAACAAAAGTTGTGTGTTTTTCTGCTGTATCATCTGCTGCCATCTAACACCATCTGTCCTACTATTGCCCAACTTTTGCCCTTCTTTACCTAGTTGTTTGACTAAGGATTGTCAGTTTCTACCATCACAGGCTGTTGAGTAGCCTTTTCAACTATCTTTTCATGATTTTCACTATGGTTCTGTCTTTTCCTCTCCTGTTCTTTACACTTTATTTTTTTCTTCACAATTCATCATCCCCCTTGTCTGGTTCTTTTGCTCACTTGAAAACTTGACATGGTTTTATATGCTCTTACATAGGCCCCATTTAAATTTTTGACAACTTTCTCCATCTCTGTTTTAAAAACTATTTCCTTCTTCTTCTTGCTAATGGTCATCATTGCAGATCTGATCTTTATGCACTATATTCCCCCTGCACATTGTTTCACAGATCTTCCTTGATTTTATTCCCTGACCACTCCTTTCATCCAAAGACTTGGGCAACTCAGGAGGAAGATTGATCCTTTTCTCCCATATCCCTTCCATCAGTTTTGATCATATGGACCCTAATCACCTTTTGTGTCTAGCTCAGGTATTACTTGGCATGCATGGCTCCATTTTCGGCTCCCATAATAATTGCTTATTCTTGCCATGGGAACCTTTTTTCTCTATGCTTATATGATGGTTTCATCAGCTTATTCA